CCACACCCGGTATATGGGGCTGGCACCCTACTCCTTGAGCCACAGGCACTGCCCTGCTTTCATTTTGTATTAGATAGTACATAAACATCCCAAAATTAAAGTTCTAAAAAGCCATCAGGGGGCCATTGCGAGTTAATCTGCATGCAGGGTATAAGGCAAGGGTCCAGCTTCACTCTTTTGGATGTGAATATACAGCTTCACACAACACTGTGAATGTATTTAATGTCGCAGATTTTTTTCTTTTCTTTCTTTTTTTTTCTTTTGAGACAGAGTCTCACTCTCTGTCACCCTGGTTAGTGCTGTGGCATCATCTGAGCTCATAGCAACTTCAAACTTTCGGGCTCAAGCAATCCTATTGCCTCAGCCTCCCAAGTAGCTGGGACTACAGGTGCCTATCACAATGCCTGGCTATTTTTAGAGACAGGGTTTTGCTGTTTCTTGCTCAGGCTGGTCTCGAACTCCTAAGCTCAAGCAATCCACCCGCCTCAACCTCCCAGAGTGCTAGGATTACAGGCATGAGCCACCATGCCAGCTAATGCCAATGAACTGTACACTTAAAATAGCAAATTTTGTGTTACTTCTCTTTTACCACAATTTTAGAAAATGAATCATGTCATCTACCAACAGCACACTAGGCAGGTGAACTGTGTCACCATAAACCCCCTCCCTAAGCTGGAGGCCAGAAATCTAAAGTGAGGGTTATATCCATATCCCTGCTCCTTTCTAGAGACTGGGGGGGGGGGACCTGTGTCCTTATCTTCCCATCTTCTACAGCCCATCTTCTGTTTGTTTGTTTGTTTGTTTTTGAGACAGAATCTCACAGTGTTGTAGCTCACAGCAACCTCAAACTCTTGGGCTCATGGGCTCAAGCGATTCTTTTGCCTCAACCTCCCCAGTACCTTGGACAACAGGTGCCTGCCTCAATGCCCAGCTAATTTTTCTCTTTTTAGTAGAGATGGTGTTACTCTTGCTCAGGCTGGTCTTGAATTCCTGAGTTCAAGCAAACCACCTGCCTCAGCCTCCCAGAGTGCTAGGATCACAGGTGTGAGCCACCACACCTGGCCTGCGCGTCACCTTTCTCCTTTGACCTTTTGCCTTCCTCTTTTAAGGACACTGTGATTACATGGTGGGTAATCCAGGATCACCTCCCCATCGCCAGAGCCTAAATCACGTCTACCAAGTCCCTTTTCACAGGTTCTAGGGATTGGGATCTGGATATTTTGGGAGACTCAATATTCTGCCTACCACTCTACTCTGGGTCCCTGCTCCACCAAGGTAAACTGTGGCAGTATTTTCTAGGGAGTTTATTTTTTTTTATTTTTGGAGACAGAGTCTCACTTTCTTATCCTTGGTAGAGTGCCATGGCGTCATAGCTTATACCAACCTCAAGCTCTTGGGCTCAAGCAATTCTCTTGCCTCAGCCTCTCAATTACCTTGGGACTACGGACACCCACCACAACACCCAGCTATTTTTTTAGAGACAAGTTCTCACTCTGGCTCAGGCTGGTCTTGAAACTTTGAGCTCAGGCAATCCACCCGCCTCAGTCTCCCAGATAGGATTACAGGCATGAACCACCATGCCCCCCCCCATGAGTTTATTTATGCACAGACAGCAAATAAATGCATTTTTTCTTTTCTCTCTGTGTTTTTTTTTTTTTTTTTCCAAAACAGGTGAACATTTCATGCACACTGCTCTCTACCTTGCTCTCCTCGCTTATGGTTCTGGCATTTCAGCATCCTTAGTTGTTCTACAGACTCCTCTTACTCCATGAGAGGGACTTACAGGACCTCTGTAACCAGGCCCCTGAGAACAGGCCTTTGAACTATTTAAACCAATGCCACTATGGTGTTGTAGTGAGTAACTTTGCACACCATCGTTTCACTCATGCTCATGCATGGGTGTAGGACGCACTCCTGGAAGTGGAATTGCTGGGCCAAGAGTGTATGCTCTCGTCCTTGGGAAAGATACTGACAAATGGCCCTTCATAGAAGTTGTGCTGATCTCTATTCCCACCAGTGAACATGGCAATGGCCTGTTTCAAAGGGACAATTCTTGGATTCCACGGTCAGAATTTTGGTATGGGTCTTGTACAAACTTATACCAAAAAAAAAAAAACCCTGAGAAAATCACAGTTATTCATATCAGAGGATGGGAGGTGGGGATGGAGATCACAGAAAAGCTGAAACACTCCCTCAGCACCATGCCTGGGTACAGCAAGGAGCCACTCCCATCTTGCCTTTGCCTTCAGGAGCTGTGAGGTCCCAGAAGCCTCCGGGTTGCAGATTGGACTGGGTGAAGATGCCTATGCTGCTGAAATTTCACTTATTTTTTAAAATTATGAAGTGATCTAGGAATTCCACATCTACATTATACATGCCCCCAAAAACTAAGTATTCAAAACTTTATGTCCACACAAAAAATTGCACATGAGATTTATAGCAGCTTTATTCATAGTTGACAAAAATTAGAAATAACTAAGATTTTCTTAGTAATGAAAATGGAATATTATGGAGGACTAAAAAGAAAGGAACTATCAAGGCAAGGAGTGGTGGCTCACGCCTGTAATCTCAGCACTCTGAGAGACTGAGGTGGGTGGATTGCCTGAGCTCAGGAGCTGGAGACAGGTCTGAGCAAGGGTGCGACCCCATCTCTACTAAAAATAAAAAGCTAGCAGGGCCTTGTGGCAGATGCCTATAGTCCCAGCTACTTAGGAGGCTGAGGCAAGAGAATCGCTTGACCCCAAGAGTTTGAGGTTGCTGAGGTGAGCTAAGATGATGCTACAGCACTCTATCCAAGGTGACAGAGTGAAACGGCGTCTCAAAGGAAAAAAAATGAACTATGGGGCCATCACAAGGCTTATTTCACTTAGTAATAAGCATTCAAGGCCCCTCCATGACTCTTCATTCCAACTACAGTAGAAGCTCTGTAGTAGACCACCCAAGGGACAGTAACAAACTGGTCAACACATGGAGGTGGTCAACATAAGGATCTAGGCCTGCTGTACTCATATGTACATGTGATGCATGTCCAATCTATGAAAATTAGGTCAACTTAAGGAAGTGGTCAATGTAGGGAGGTAGTCAACTATAGAGGTTCCACTGTATTTATATATAAATGTTCATTGCAGCACTCTTCACAATAGCTAATGTGTGATGGAATACCTGTGTGATGGAGTATTATTCAGCCATAGAAAGGAATGATGCTACAACGTGGATTACCCCCCAAAACATTATCCCCCAAGAAAGAAAATAGACACAGAAGGTCACACATTGGCTGATTCCATTTATATGAACTATCCAGAAAAGACAAATCCATAGAGTCAGAAAACATATTTGTGGTTGCCAGAGGGAATAGGGAACAGCGTTTAACAGACTCAAGGTTTCCTTTTGAGGTGATGAAAACGTTTCAGAACTAGATAGTGGTGGTGGTTGCACAACGTGGCAAATCTTCTGAATCACTTTAAATGGTAAATTTGTGTGCGTGCTTCACCACAATGAAAATTAAAAGTTTTTATAGAAAAAGAATTTTTTTTTTGAGACAGAGTCTATGTTGCCCTCTGTAGAGTGCAGTGGCATCACAGCTCACAGCAACCTGAAACTCTTGGGCTTAAGTGATTCTCTTGCCTCAGCCTCCCAAGTAGCTGGGACTACAGGTGCCCCCCACAATGCCTGGCTTTTTTTTTTTTGCTGTTGTTGTCGTTGTTTTAGCAGGCCTGGCTGGGCTCAAACCCCCCCACCCCCAGTACATGTGGCTGACGCCCTAACCACTGAGTTACAGGCACCAAGCCTAGAAAAAAGAATTTTTTCACTTCCCAGCTCTTTGCTCACTTGGCAGAATTTTCAGGAACCAATTAAAGTCATGAAATGGAAGATGGGTGTATATTAAGATATGATGACCACAACAACGCTTCCACCACCAATAGCAGAAATCTCTCCCCCTCTCCTGCCATCTGTGGGATAGAATTAAAAACAAGGAACTGGATTGCCCCGCTCTACTCCAGACATGGAGAGGGGCTCATCTTTGCCTCCCTGCCATCTGTTCTGCTTTCCCCCACCCAGCATATTGACATCATCCTCAGGTTGATACCAAAACGGCTGTTGCATTCCAGGCTTCGAATCCTGACTCAGATCCAGAGAAGCAGCCCCCCTCCTCCGGGACAAGCCTCTGGGATCAAGAAGCTTAACCTCGGCTGAGCACCCGTAGCTCAGTGGTTAGGGCGCCAGCCATATGTTCTGGGGCTGGTGGGTTTGAACCCGCCCAGGCCTGCTAAACAAACAAACAAAAATAAATAGCCGAGAGTTGTGGCAGGTGCCTGTAGTCCCAGCTACTTGGGAGGCTGAGGCAAAAGACTCGCTTCAAGCAGAAACTTCATCTTGCAGCATCCCCTCTGGTCTCATTGGCCAGCACCACCCACTGCTCAGACCAATCCCTGGCCAGAACAATGGGGCACCTAGGAGGCTATGACCAATCTGGATCTGCCCTCTGGGGCTGGGAAGAAGCCAGGATGATGGCTGAAGGACAGGATGGATGGAACCCTCGATCTCCATATTAGCAGTGACTATCTCTGAGTAGTTGGAAGATGTTTAAAGTGAATTTTATGCTCTTCTTTTTGACTACTGTCTAAATATTATTTCTGTAATAAACCTTAGCTCTTAATAATGAAAAAGGAATCACAGACATTATTTGAGAGGGAGGGAGAGGGACTGAGGGAAGGAGGAAGAGAGGGAGAGGACAGAGAGAAAAGAGAGAGAGCACAGTCGAGCAACTGGAAAATCCAGAAAAGCTGGCTTAGCTTTATGAGCTGCCTGGAAATAATTTTTGCTAGGTTTGCAACAACCTCTCTCCCATACGGAAAAAGGAAATTGCAAAACTGCTGTAAGAAGGATTGAGGTTAGATTCTTTGAGGTTGCTGACCCCAAGAACATCAGCAAGAAACCTTCCAAGTTTGTTGGGAACATGAAGAATTGGAAACCCCTCCAGGGAAAATACATTTCCCTTGAGCAGGGTTACTAGGGGCAAGGTGAGGCAGGTCACAACGTCAATAGTAGTAACAATGACGATAGGCATCATGTGTTGTTCACTTGCCAAGCCTCTTGCCTACAGTTCTACCAACGACTCTATGAGGTGGCAACGCCGCATATCCCCACAGAGAGGTGAAGTCATTTGCCCCAAGATCCTGCAGCCAAGTGGTGACTAAACCAGCCTGACAGGCAAACTCCCCAGCTCACACAGGGATGCTTTGGGGTCTGCAGCTGTTCCATCTACCTGAGCCACACCAACCTTCAAGGTGGCTCAAAGTCAAGATTCCTGATTTGGCTCAAACTGGGGGCCCTGGAAGATGCTGTCACCACTGACATGCTGACAGCATGTGTCTAGGACACACACACCACACACAAAATGCTACTGACATACTGCACCCGAACTTAAGGTCCTTTCTTCCCGCAACACCAGAAATCACACCAGGGTGGAAATGCCGATCATGGCCTGCCCCAGATCTCTCAGTCAGTGCCTGCTCTGACAGAACTTTCACAGATAATGAAAAATGTTATCTATCTGTGCTGTCCAAAGTGATAGCCACCAGTTTGAGAAACTTTCTTTAATGCATTTAATTTTAATTAGTTTAAATTTATATTTAAACAGCTCTGAGGGGGGGGCCAATGTCTACCATATTAGACAACATAACCCCAAGTCCAAGTTCTGTCCCAACAGAGCTGATGACCAGGAACAATGGCTCCCTCCCACCTCCCCAGCCTCATACACACACACACAGAGCCCTTTCCCACCTGCCCATCCACTTGACTGGGATTTTGCAGCATCCTCCATACATCCCCATGACTGCCTCAGCATCTACCCTTCTGGATATGTTGTTTATGCTGCCTGGTGCACACCAACCCACCCTATCATCGGCCTCATTCCTACTTGTACTCCATGTCTCAGCTCAGATGTCTCCTCCTCCAGAAAGCCCTCAAATGGAGTAAGGTGTTCCCTTGGGCTCTCCCAGACCCTTGGGTTCCTCCATCCCATCCCTGATTACCCTGGATCATCACTGTCTGGGGCTGGGTCCGTCCCCCACCCCACATAGGACTGAAAGCCTCAATGTGGACTGAGAGCAGGGCAGGGACAGTCTCAGTCATTGGTGTGTCGCCAGCACCACCCAGCACCCAAGGCCAAGGCAACAGGAGTATGTGTTGGAATGGATGAGTAAACAGACAAATAGAGGATGCTTTTAAAAAACTAGGCCAAGGGGCGGCGCCTGTGGCTCAAAGGAGTAAGGTGCCAGCCCCATATGCCTGAGGTGGCAGGTTCAAACCCAGGCCCAGCCAAAAAAAAAACTAGGCCAAGAGCTTTAGCAGGAGTCAGCCACAGGTGAAATCCCACCTTTGCCTGCTGCCAGACTTGCCTCTATCCCTGAGCCTTAGTCTTCACATCTGTGAGGTGGGAACAGTTAAGTGTGGTGGCTGCAGGGTAGGCAGCGTGTATTGCACCTTCCTGCAGGGGCCCGCCTGACCCAGGGGAATTGCCCAGAGGCTGCTGTTACCACTGCTGTTGCTGCCCATGGTCACACTGAGTAGATAAGGTAAAGGGGGACAGGGGAGGAGCCTGGGGAAGCCCCAGGAAGTTCCCCAGTCACTCTGGAAAACTGGTTCAACCAGTGTCTTCACTTCTGTCCCAGGGAACACAGGTGGAGTCTGTGGAAAAGGAACACTGGGGCTGGGCCAGCCTCTCTGCAGTGTCCCGAAGGCACCCCCAGGACCTCCACAGAGCTGGCCCACTTCAGATCGCCAGGCCCAGCCCTCTGGCCCCTTTGGTGTCCAGCAGGTAGCTCCTTGCCTCCGCACAGGAGATAGAGATTATCATGGGGACCCAGGGCCACATCTCAAAGAGTCTCCTGCTCTCAGGTAAGGAGGGAAAATTCTCTGAAGATTGGGAGAAGGTGGCACTTAGCCCAGAGGCTGAGGTTTTTTTCTTAGAAGGAGGGAAAGGCTCAGCGCCGGTAGCACAGTGGTTACAGCGCCAGCCACATACACCAAGGCTGGCAGGTTTGAAACCAACCTGGGTCAGCTAAACAATAATAAAACTTCAATAAAAAGTAGCTGGGCTGTGTGCTGTGGCAGGTGCCTGCAGTCTCAGCTACTTGGGAGGCTGAGGCAAGAGAATCACTTAAGCCCAGGAGTTTGAGGGTTGCTGTGAGCTGTGATGCCACAGTACTCTACCAGGGGCGACATAGTGAGACTCTGTCTCCAAAAAAAAGGAGGGAAAGCTTATCCTGGAAGATGAAGTTGTTAAAGTAAGATGAGGAGAGCAACAGTAGAATCACAGCCCTATGACCATTTTATCTATGGAATTTTCTAGAATATCAGGACCATGAAGGTGAGAATTTATTTGTGTTTGTGTTTTTGCTATATCCTCAGTGCCTAGAAATCTAGAGCAGCTTAGACCTATTATACATAGTTGATATTGTAGCTTATATGATACACATACCTATAAATATTGGTTAAATAAATGAATGAATGAATGAATTCAGATAATACATGTGTTTGAAGCAGGCCACACAACACCTCAGTGCAGAAAAACCACGTGAATCAATAAGATGGCAAACCTGTGGCATTATGTCTATATTCCCATGCCTGCACCCAGGGAAGACATCACTAATCAATGCCAGCCCTGTCTTTGGTGAACAGCACACAGAGTACTTGCTCCAGGTGATGATCTCTATCTAGGGAGGTCCCTGACCAACATCCCTGACCTCAGGCCTCCCTCCCACAGCTTCAATCCTGGCACTCTGGATGCCCCAAGACTCCCAGGCAGCCCTCCATATCCAGAAGATTCCAGAGCAGCCTCAAAAGAACCAGGACCTTCTTTTGTCTGTTGACGGTGTCCCAGACACCTTCCAGGACGTTAACTGGTACCTGGGGGAGGAGACCTCTGGAGGTACAAGGCTATTCACCTATATACCTGGACTACAGCGGCCCCAGAGGGATGGCAGTGCCATGAAACACCGAGACATTGTGGGCTTCTCCAATGGCTCCATGCTGCTGTGACGTGCCCAGCCCACAGACAGTGGCACCTATCAAGTAGCCATCACCATCAACCCTGCCTGGACCATGAGGACTAAGACTGAGGTCCGGGTGGCAGGTGAGTCTTAGGGTCTGGGGAGGAGGTGGGCAAGCCACTACTATGGACCAGGCTCTGTATAGGCATCATTTTATTTAGTCTTCTCATTCATTAATTCAACACATACTGTTTGAGCATCCACTGTGCACCAGGTCCTAGAGATATCATATGATGCTCACAAGCATTAACTAACAAAATACGTATTAAAACCTGGCTTTTGCAAGACATAGGAGAATTCGCCATCTCATTTACTATCCACATACATTTATTTATCAAATATTTATTGAGCACTAACTGAATGCCTGATCATAAGCAATACATTACTTAATCACTCAATCTTTATGTTCATAAGGCAAGTATTTATTGATGAATCCACTCTGGGAAAAGTGCTAAGGCAGTGGACAATAGCAATGGTTTCATCCATGTGCAATGGCTCACACCTGTAATCCTAGCACTCTGGGAGGCCAAGGCAAGTGGATTGCCTGAGCTCAAGAGTTCAAGACCAGCCTGAGCAAAGTGAGACTCTGTCTCTACTAAAAATAGAAAAATTAGTTGGGCATGGTGGTAGGCGTCTGTAGTCCCAACTGCTCAGGAGGCTGAGACAAAAATATCACTTGAGCACAAGAGTTTGAGGTTGCTATGAGCTATGATGCCATGCCACTCTAGCCTGGGCAACAGAATGAGACTCAAAAAAAAAAAAAAAATAGCAATGGTTTCTCAGCCTCAGCACTGGTGACATTTTGGACTGGCCAGTTCTTTGTAGTAAAGGGCTTGTGCTTGTAGAGATGTTTATTCAGCAGCATTTCTGGTCTCTATTCACTAGATGCCCGTATGACCTTCCTAGTTGTGACAACCAAAAAAGCCAGGCATTGTGGTGGGCGCCTGTAGTCCCAGCTACTTGGGAGACTAAGGCAAGAGAATCACTTGAGCCCAAGAGTTTGAGGTTGCTGTGCACTGTGATACCAGAGCACTCTACCAAGGGTGAAATAGTGAGACTCTGTCTCAAAAATACTAATAATAATAAAATAAACTCCCTTCTGATGGCCAGCCTGCTCCAAAGGATGGCCATTCTAGCTCACAAAGTTTTCTCAACTTGGCTCGGCGCCTATAGCTCAACCGGCTAAGGCACCAGCCACGTACACCTAAGGTGGTGGGTTTGAATCCCCAGCCCGGACCCGCCAAACAATAATGATGGCTGCAACCAAAAAATAGCTGGGCGTTGTGGCGGGCGCCTGTGGTCCCAGCTACTTGGGAGGCGGAGGCAGGAGACTCGCTTGAGCCCGGGAGTTGGAGGTCGCTGTGAGCTGTAATGCCACGGCACTCTACCCAGGGGGACAGCTTGAGGCTCTGTCTCAAAAAAAAAAAAAAGTTTTCTCAACTTTTTGGAGATCACAGTAACTCCATAGTCTCCTACAAAGCCTTTTTTTTTTTTTTTCTAATTTTGAACCATTAACCTTAGGAGAATTTCCTTAGCCGGCGCAGGACCCATCCCTGTGGTGCAGACAAACAAGGGCTGGGGGTGCTGAAGATCTCTCAGGTGCCCCCCTGGCTTTAAGGAGCGTCTTAGCTAAGGTGCACCCGTATAAGCCCCAGGCCTGGGTGCTGCTGTGCCGCAAGTCACCCTCATGCCTTATATGTCTCCACGGAACCACAGGTTAGGGCCCAATCGAGCTCCATACCTGTGACCAGTCATGGAGCTATACAGTCACTCATTCTTTCATACACCACTTATTCGCAGAGGCTAAACAATTCCTCCCAATCCTTTTTGCTTTTGTGGAGGCCCCCTGCCTCTTCTGTTTCTTTTTGCCCCTCTTACTGAGGCCCCCTGCCTCATGGAATTCAATTCCTTTTCCTTCCTTTTTACTGAGGCTCCCACCTCAAGGAGGTGATCAAACTCCTCTTCCACTCTTTGGAGTAGGCTTTACTAGTATTATACCCTTTTTAATCCAGTTCTTACCTAAGTCTGGACGTGCTCTTCCTCCATATGTTCGTTTGTATTGGTGAGCAGCAGCCACAGAGGACAGCAGTGAGACCTCCCTACGACCCTAGAGAGGGTCCCCTCCACGTAATCTGCACCAGAGCACTCTTAGGCAATGGCATCAGTCAGTATTTTGGGGAGTGCCCCCAAGGGGTGCTACACCCCAGCATGGGGAAGAGTCTCCGGGTTCCGATCTGCCTGCTCGTTTTCCTGGTCAGGGAACCAAAAGTGTCTCAGGAAAACAGCCAATTAAAACAGACAGACACTTACACCAACAATATAAAGGTAGGAACCTTTAATTGCTGGGGAGAACTCAGGTGCCTCAAGGCCTGAAATGCTGAGTTCCAGGGAACAGTTTTTCCTAAACATTTTTTACCTTTTTCTTCCTTCAGTTCAATATCAGCGACATAGTTATGGCTACAGATGTTAGAAACCAGGGTATTGTTATTAGTTTCAGAGTCTTTTTTCTCTTGCTTTTCAAGGTTATTTCAGCTCAGTGTAAAGTTTGTTCATGTCTTCGTAGGAGGAGTTCTTCTGCAGCTGCCTGCTGCTTTCTCAGGACCGCTAAGAAGCATAAGATTTATTTCTCCTTCCTCAAGGAGGCTGAGACAAGAGGATCACTTGAGCCCAGGAGTTTGAGGTTGTTGTGAGCTAGGACATCATGGCACTCTTACTCAGGGCTACAGGGTAAGATTCTGTCTCAAAAAAAAAAGAAAAAAAAAAAAAAGATGAAAAACAAAGCAGAGACAATTCTTTCCAGCAGCAATAAGACCTGAAAATTATGCCACTGAAACAACTTAGAAAGTAGCTTATATGCTCAGGAGAAAATGGAAGCCATTCAGTGATACATAAATTGTAAAAGAATGCATTGTCAAACTTGGAGGATGCTTAGACCCCAATAACATTTCAAAGTACAAAAAAAGTTCTCTTTCAAGGAGAACCATGACTGATTGGCAGCATGAATTAGCCTTCAACTTAACACAACAACTACGTTCGATACTTCAAAAGGAAAACATATATTATTCAATCACCATGGATGAATCAGCTGATACTGACTCAGCGCAGGTTTTATACTTTATTTGGGCCCTAGCAGAATATTTTTCTTTTCTATGAAGAGTTACTCACTTTGGGCACTCTTGTGAACAGAATCTGGGAACTAGGAGGAGACTTGGAAGAGAAGACATGGTGTGTCTTTAGTGGCTATAACAGAAGCCAGCCCTGGTGTATGCAGAAAGGGATTGAATAAAGGGTTATCGCATACTCTCAGGATCTCCAGGGGGCTGGGAACCAGAGACAAGGTAAAATTATTTGGCAGAACTTCTCCTGCAAGAGCAAGCATGGCCCACCATGTCAGCACTGGGCCCTGCCTCTGAGGCATCCAAAAGCTGTAGTCATTTGTTTGTTTTTTTCATTCATTCATTCAACAAACATTTGTTGAGCACCTCAGGCACAGAGGATACAGAACCACCAAAGACCTCTGCACCTCTGGAGTTTATATGTTTGGGGACATGTGGGCCACCACATACACTATCAATGCACCCTGCATGGTGCCTGCATCCTTGTGTCTCTGGCTTCGAAAACAAATTCCTATGAGGGTGTCTCCACCTGGGGAAGTCAGGGCCTCAGGACAGTACCTAAACTGCTAAGAGGGGCTAAGAAAGCAAGTATCTGCCAGGACTTATGACAAGGAGCATTCCACAGGCATAGGGCAGCCTGAAAACACAAGAGAGGCTCAGGAGCTGTAGGTACAGTTTGAGTATCACTTATCCAATAAGCCTGGGACCAGAAGCGTTTGGGATTTCAGATGATTTTGGATTTGGGATTATTGAAAAATATATATATATAAAATGAGATCTCCAGGGACAGGACTCAAGTCTAAACATGAAATTCATTTATTTTTCATATATACCTTATACACATAAACTGAAGATAACTTCATATAGCATTTTTAATAATTTTGTGCCTGAAACAAAGTTTGTGTTAAATTCTTGTATGTGGAATTTTCCACTTGTGGCATCATGTCAGTACCCCCACATTTTCAGATTTTAGAGCATTTTGGATTCTGCATTTTCAGGTTAGGAACGCTCAATCTGTACCCCAGCAGCCCCAGCTCACAGATGAGAGAACGAGGCTCAGAGAAGGGACGTCAGTTGCTTAAGATCCCACAGCTGGGGAGCAGCAAAAGCTCAACTCAGAACCACAGACAGGGATTATGGTCATTGACAGCTTGTGTCTGTTGTCCCATCAGTCTAGCTGTGGGTATCTGGGCTTCTTAAGCAACCCTGCACAGATTCCTCTAAGCCTTCTGGGCCTTCTGACACCCAAGGCAATTAATTACAAAGTCCAGTTCCCCTGACCACTGACATACAGGGCACTGACACACATGTATACTCTGCATCCTCCCAGCCCTGGTGTGATGATCCCCCAATCTTACAGATAGGGAAACTGAGGCATGGAGAGTTTAAGTGACTCCTTTGGGTCACTCAGCTAGAGAACAGCAGGTGCAGGACTTAAACCCAGGCTGGCTGGCTCCAGAGACCATGTCCTTAACGATGACTTTACTCTGCCTTATCAAGGACTAAGACGATGACATCAAATTACCAAATCCCTTGGGGCCTCCGCTTCTATGTCTATAAATGGGGGGCAACAACAGCACCTCCACCATGGGGTGGTTAGAAGTACTGGTTCAGCAAGTCTATATGAAGCTGCTGCTTTTTAAACTATGGAAATCAACGAAGATGAACCAAAAAGGAAAAGCAAAGGCTATTTATGCAGAGCCTGCTGTCACAGCGGAGTTAGCCACAATCACTTGCACTTAGGCAGGGACTCAAAGGCAGGCAGAGGAGTGGGAAGAGTGGAAGCTTCAGCAGTGCCCGGATTGGAGGCTGTTGTCCTGGGGAAGCTGCAGGTGACCTCCTAGAGGCAGGACATCTTGTGGGACTGGTTGAGGCGGGCAGATTTGGCTCACTCTGATTGCCTCTAAATTGGAAGTAAGGACAAAAACTAGAGGAGCTGTCAGTTATTAATCAATTCCTGCCCGTTT